GAATACAGGACCGCCCTTCTTTCAGAGAACGAGACTCCATGAATTCAAGCGCCCTACGAGGCTGGCATCGCGCTCCCACCCTTACACTATAGAAATTTTTAAATGTAGCCGTCTCTTCTACTCCAATAGCTTCATACCTCGCACCTCTCGTCTGTGAAACACCCTTCCCAATTACTGTTTCCCTGAAAGCTATAATCTCCAACTATTCAAATGTAATGTCACCTCCAGTTACCTTGATCTATCCACTATCCTTCTCCTCATCCTTTCTTCTATCACTCCTATCCGCTCTCGCTCTAAATCTTCCGCAACCCCCTGCATCCTAGTGGCTTCACGCCTTGCTCGGGGCGTAATGCTTAAAAAAAAAATCTTCACAGCTTCCTTTTCTTTATTATGTATTGATTGCTATGAATTCTTGGGAAAGGACACGGCGTGATTATACGTTGTCTTCTTCCTGGTTTTGAATCCAAAGCAGTCTTTCTCTCTTTAGAACGTGAGCGAGAATGGTTCTCCAAGTTACTTTCAATATGGCGATTACTGAGATGGGAAAAGAAAAGAAAAAAATCACAAACAGATGATAGAATAGAAAGAGTGTAAGATAAACAAAGAATAACGCGAGGAATGGATGGAAAGAGAGAAAGATATAGAGAAAATGATATAGAAAGAGAAAGAGAAAAAAAATCATATATAGGAAAGAGATGTAATAAAAGTGAGAGAATTAAAGCTAACGATAAATAAGGGTTTCTATTTCAGTCAGAGAAAATCAATTTATCTCTGTCGTAGATATTGGGTTGGTGCATAATTATCAGGCGTTTTTGTAGTCGAGTTATTTCTTAATAAAAATTGCTGTTTATTTTATTTTTATTTTTTAATAAAAATATTAATTTTCAGGTAGTCGATAATCATACGCTCCGGAATAATCATTTAAAAACATTATTGTTGAATTGTTATGTTTCTTTTTTCATAATAAATACTGTGTAAAAACGCCTGATAATTATGCACCGACCCAATATTTCATGGTTTTCCTTTTCCGACTTCGATGGTGTCATTCGTTTTTTAAAACTGATCTTGGAATACTGTTCAATTATGCAAGCTTGTGGGGTGCGATTTGTGGTTACCAGTGATCGCAAGAGGGAAGCCGTATGGAATTTCAACTCCTGTAGGGCCACCCATAGCGGTAAGGTCGAGGAGGAGAGACTAGCCTGAATGCAACCAATCCCCATAGATCCTAACGGCGGAATAGACAAAGATCTACGCAATCTCAACGGCCAAGCCGGCGGAAGAGGGCAGGACCAGTCGGGCTGGCGTAACCAAGGCTGACCTTGACAGACCAAGCATCCGATAGCCCAATGCAACCAGGTTTGCCAGATCTCGCCCGTCTCAAATCCCATTTGAGCCGCGAGAAAAGCGCTTCTTCAGCCATCTCCATCGTTGGCGGGGAGAAAAGGAATAAGAAAAGAAGATAACGATCTCGATACTCGGGGGAGGGCAGGTTGCGACTACTGTTTCGTGGTGTAATGCATAACGGCTCGGAGTGAGAAGTCGGAGAGCCGAGTTCGAATTCCAGTCTGATTCAGTACATTTACTTAGGCATGAATCCATCTCTTCTCCTCATCCATCAATGGGCTGAAATGCAGAATAGACTGAATCCTGTAGCTTTGGTTGGCCATCAGTCTATCCTAGGGAGAAACGGTAACCTACTGCGGGAAAAATCTTCTGACGAATCAGTCATGAACTTTGAGACATGATCGCCCAGGCGTGTATCACGCGTGACACTTAACTGACGTATATTGACAATTACTCGTTTCAAAAATGCAATCCAAAATTATCAAAAAATATAAGCTACTTTTAAAAATATTATTAAAATGAACTTTTTTCCCTTTCATGAGTGATTTTACACGCAGTTTTGTACATCTTATTTATTATAAAACTCAGATTGTGTGTGTGTGTGTGTGTGTGTGTGTGTGTGTGTGTGTATCTGTACGTTTATATATTGGATCGGATTTCCTACATTTTTCAACCGATTTCAACAAAACTTCACAGTACTACGTAAAATTACCTTGCGGTGGTTCTGACAGCGCTAAAAATTGGAAAAACACAATTGTTTTTACACGAAATCAATTTGAAAACACTATTAGGAGAAATCACGAGAATGAAAGGGGGACAACTCATATCGAGTTATACTTAAAACCCAGGTTGTGTGTGTGTGTTCGTTTATATATGGGATCGGATTTTCTACATTTTTCAACTGATTTCAACAAAACTTCACTTTTTTTTTGGCAGGTAGTGTTTCTTATTGTCTTGCACACTTTCTTCTTTATTTTTACATTCAGAATGCTTTAAAAATTCCATTTACAAGACAATTGTTTATAATAAAATTCTGTTCAATCGATAGACTCATAACAATTGAAAACAATGTTTTTGTTTGAGTTTGGGTTTGACCAATTCGTAAAAAAAAACAAAAACAAAACGAAAAAAAAAGCTAATTAAGACATGTGTGTCCGTCAACCTTAAACAATAATCTTTGTCAATTTTATTTTTCAGTCTTCATGATGGTCGATACTTGATCTATCTCTTACTGTTATATCCCCGGGCAACGCCGGGCTCTACTGCTAGTAATTATTAAAACACTTTCCGTAATCTTCAACCGTTATCATGGCGTGTGTTTTGGGTCTAAAATATGTAGTTTGTTGTTTTAATTTTATAGATAATATTACACAACATTGTTGGGTTAGTTCATTATTGATAAGGAGGGGGTTGATGTTTAGTATTGGAGGATTAGATATTAAATATGTTTAATATCTTTCTGCCAGTATTAAAAGCATTTAATTTATGTTGGGTTTTTGGTCTTTGATTAAGATCGCTTAGAATTTGTAGTCGTTTTTTGAAATTGTTTTTATAGAGGATTTTGGTATTGTTAATTAAGAATTAATTAAGATTTTTCTTATGGCAGATGATTTGAATGGGTTACTGGTGGTGCTGTGTGTCATTACACGATGTTTTTTTCATGGCGCTGGTGTCATTAAGGTGGTATGTGAGCCTATGGGAGGGAGTTGTAGGTGTGTACCCGAGCAAACAAGAAAAAAATTGAAAAAAAAAAAATCAACAAACGGAAAAGTTCCGTAGTTTTCAACAACACATGCCTGAATACCCCCCCACACATATATATATATTTATATATATATATATATTGCAAAAAAAAACATATTTTAAAGCAGCTAATTTATAATCATTTATAATATTTTAAACCAGTTAATTTATAATATTAATGCTCTGTAAATTTACATTGAGCACTATTTTGTAAAAATAAAAATATCTATAAGAACACCGGATTATATATCTTACTGTTCTTTATATATATATATATATATATATATATTGTGGAGTTACCCCACTTAAATTCCTAAAAAACCGTTGCTAGGGGACGCTCTCTAAGCCTATAAATAGTCAGGTGACATTCTCTGTAATTTTCTCTCTTTCCTATTTCACTTAGTGGCAGTAAGATGTGGGCCAAACGCGGGAAAAAGCACACACGCACGCCATCACTTTACCTCTACACTTTCCATTTCTATTCCCTAGGTCTCCTTCTACAAAAACACTTTCACTAGTTTAAATGCTTTCTTCTTTCATAGACTTTGTTTTGTCACACATCTTCTTTTGTCTGCGTATATCTTTGTTTTCGTCAAAACATACTTGTTTGTTTTTGTATATATTTTTTGTCGTTACTTTGACATTTTATGACCTGGACTCACATACAGAGTCCACCATTTTTTGTTGTAGGAAATATGTTATGGGGTCCACCCCTTTTTCATACAAGTGGACTTGACCAGTGTGTACTTGTACTGCTGCCAGTGAATACCCGAGAGGTAGAGTAATAGGTAGAGACAATAGAGTGAGATACACATAGTGAGTGGGTACAGAAATACACTGATACAGTGAGAGTATGAGGTAACCGCTTTGTAGGAGTCACAGTTGCGAGCCCGTAGACTTAGAAGGAAGTCCTACTTCGATACTGAATTTCCCAGACTGTATATATATATATATATATATATATATATATATATTATTATTATTATTATTATTATTGCTACTAACCGCATTTCTGGTTCTACTAACCGTATTGCCAATTGCATTATTGCGTCAATACATTTATTTGATATATTTCATTCCTGCGTTTGTCATTCATTTGAGACTGGATTTCATCTTGGAATCCACAACAAAATACATACCAGAAGACATGTGTTTTTCAACCTAAGCACTCGACCAGCATATACCAGCAACAATATAAAGTTCTATCTATATAATTATTTATGATTTTTGTTGTTCTTTGATATGAATGTTTGTTTTCCTTTGTTATAATCTTAAACGGGCGTAAACAGAAAACATTATTTGCATTTCTCTTTTGTTTGTTTTTCTTAGCTTTGTTTATGTGGAATACGAATGATATGTCTGGCTTATGTAAGCGCAGGGTTTCTAAGACATGGTGTTAATTTTTGCTTAACCTGGCCACGAGTTTTTTAATCGAGTTCATTCCATGCAACTGACTGGTGTGACAGATACCGTAAAAGACGCTCAGACATCTAAGGGAATACAGTAGGACTAAAAAAAGACACTTCCACGCGGTCTATATTTGAGAGTGAATCAAGCGACAGAATTTCTCTGTCGAGTCGCAGCCATCATATACGTACCTGTATTTTCGAGTGTTTATGCCAGTGTATTTTCTGAAATGGTGGGTGGGTTCGTTATTTGTTTTTATTTAGAGATATATCAACACCTTTATGGACTGTTTAATGCCGAAATTTAAATATTTTATCCGCAATTTGTTTTTGAGAAAATAATTATTTTAATGATCAGAAATCTTAATAATTAACTCATAGCTTTAAGAGTTGGATTCATGCCAATGGTATTTGCGTATAATTGAATATAATGAACCCAAGAGGAATTGAAAATCGGCTCTCAGATTAAAAAATCCGATCCATTATTACACCACCCGCACATCGAAGCTTACAGCAGCTGGTATTCCGAAGCGGTCACCCATCTAGGTACTGGCCAGGCTCGGCGTTGCTTAACTTCGGAGACCGTACGGGAACCGTTGTTTCCAACGAGATATTGTCGTAAGCCATACCACCCACGAATCCAGGTTTAGAGAACCTGGTATTCCGAAGCCGTTGCTCATCTAGGTCCTGACCAGGCTCGACGTTGCTTACCTTCGGTGATCGTACGGGAACCAATGTTTCAACGTGATATAGTCATAAGTCATAGAACATCTGGTATTCCGAAACGGTTGCCCATCTAGGTACTAACCACGCTCGACGTTGCTTACCTTCGGTGATCTTACGTGAGTCAATGTTTCAACGTGATATGACCGTAAGCCATACCACCCGCGCATCCAAGCTTAGAACACCTGGTATTCCGAAGCGGTCGCCCATCTAGATACTGACCAGTCTTGACGTTGCTTACCTTCTGTGTTCGTAGTGGAACCCATGTTTCAACGTGATATAGTCATAAGCCATACCACCCGCGGATCCAAGCTTAGAACATCTAGTATTCCGAAGCGGTCGCCCGTTTAGGTACTGGCCACGCTCGACGTTGCTTACCTTCGGTGACCATACGAGAGTAAATGTTTCAACGTGATATAGTCATAAGCCATACCACCCGCAAATCCAAGCTTAGAGCACCTTGTATTCCGAAGCGGTACTGACCAGGCTCTACGTTGCTTAACTTCAGTAATCGTACGTGAGTAAATGTTGCAACGTGATATGATCATAAGCCATACCAGCCGCAAATCCAAGCTTAGAGCACCTTGTATTCCGAAGCGGTACTGACCAGGCTCTACGTTGCTTAACTTCAGTAATCGTACGTGAGTAAATGTTGCAACGTGATATGATCATAAGCCATACCACCTGCAAATCTAAGCTTAGAGCACCTTGTATTCCGAAGCGGTACTGACCAGGCTCTACGTTGCTTAACTTCGGTGATCGTACGGGAGCCAATATTTCAACGTGATTTGGCCCTAGCCATAAACGATCGTGAGTTCATCATTCTGAAATAATCTCAAGTTTATCCAGCATGCAGTATTTTCTGAGAAAGTATTTACTGTTTACAAAAAAAAAACACTTCTTAATTATCGCCTAGTATATCGTATTTTTGCCAATCTATATAATCGATTACCGTATTTTTATTGTAAACATTTATATTAGATTAACTTATTAAATTATTTATCAATTAAGATAGTTTGTTTCCAGTATAGATTCGGATATTAGTGGACACGCTAGATGAATGCCGCAGATATCCTCTACACTTATTTTATTGGTTTTGACAGTAACAAGAAAATATAGAGTCATGTCTCTCTTTGCGAAATTGTTTACTTCAAACCGTCTGCCGGAGAAAGAAATTGAATAATTTTTAGATGAATCGCCGGTGATTACAATATGAATTAATCAATAAATATTGGCCCGTCGTTGAATACGAAATTTGGAGTAAGACAACCGTCCGACGTGTTAACAGAATTGCCGACATTGGGAAATCTCAGAGAGAGGACAAGCGGAAAATTACACTTACTTCTCAATGTTGTCAGAGCTACTTTGATTCATTTACGAGGTATATTCCGGAAGTTTTGAGACTTTACTTACAGGGGCATTTCTGTCTTAGATTATTGAAATTTTAGTATATCACTAGAATACCCGTGATCCGTTGGGTCACTGACGGTTCAGCTTATAAAATGTTGAAGTTGATTTTAACATTCCATTGAAATGAAAGTTAATTTTATCATGATCCGGTTAAGTATTTCAATTCATTAACATTTTATTGATTGTTAACAGCATTTAACATGAATAGAACTTCCGGGATAAACTTGAACTTTAAATAAGATTAACTTGAAAATATTTTTTTTTGATATGCCAAAAATTATTTTAAAATTTGATTCACTTGAAAATATTTTTTAAATATGCCAAAAAAAAAAAATATATTTTTTAAATATTTAAAATATTGTTTGCTGAAAGAAAGCTGAAATATAATTACTCTCCAAACAACGGCACGAAACAGCAAATCGGGATCTCTTTGTGTCTGTCTTTAACCCTTTCAGCTTTGCGTTCCGGAACAATTTTAAACCTTCTACCCGAGATCCTGAGTTAAAATTCTCAAATAATTAGTATGTAATGTTTCACGGTAGATAAAAAAAATATATATATTTACAAATATTTACCCACCATTCAACCGGTTGCTGGGCATTACGTCATTTTTCTTTACAATAAAGTAAAGACAAAAACTTTTCAACATTTGGATATTTCTTTAATATATTGGTTGTCTATGAGCCATCTTCAGAGTGGTTATATGGACATTACAACAGAGATGTTCACCATCAAAGATGACATACTGTTTTGTTTACACGGAATGTAAAACAGAGCAAATATTAAATATATTAAGAAACAGACAACTTTAGGAGTTTATGTTGATTATAATTTATTTCCTTAGAATCAAAATTCGATTCTAATTTCTCATATATATATATATATATATATATATATATATATATATAAAGTCAAGATGTGTGTGTGTGTGTGTGTGTGTGTAACGAATGCACTGCCGCAATTTTCGATGGATTTGCACCAAAGGTTACATGCACATGCTCCAAGTTAGCGGAAAGGCCAAGACTGACTTTGTATTTCCCAACTCCCATCGATAGTGGAAATAATCGATTTTTTTTCATGCTTCTACGGCAGTTTTCATGTAGTTTGCGGCCATTTTCTACTGGCCACCGTGAGAGCCAACAGCTGACTGACACAAATGTTAACGAGCATGCTTGCATGCAAAAAAAAAAAAAATCGATAGCTGCATTCGTCACAAGTGGGAAAAATTTAAATCTGTATGGCACTTTACTCCAATTGGCTAATTCGCTTGCTTAAACTCAACATTGATTCTGATTCCGCAGAAATGGGTTGGGCGTGAAAAAGTATTTGTTGTTAACATTCTTTTTTCATTCGGTTTTTCCTGTTACGAGTCCTTTTTTAAAGCTGATCGTTTTGTGTTCATTTTGTTTAGTTCTTTTTTTTCGTAACAGATTTAATGTTTAGTATAAAGCTTAAAAAAATTCGCAGTATGAGATAAGCAAGAAGTAAGGCATGTAGCAACATCAGCACGGCAAAGGGCACTCCTTTAAAGGCAAGGAAGGGCAAAAATATTTTAAGTCAAGTGATAGCGATTGCTGTATGAGTCGTGCGATTTTTGAATCAAGCAACGGCAACGCCGGGCCATGCTGCTAGTATATATATATATATATATATATATATATTCTGTGGAAAATTTCGGAGCGTCTACTCAAATACGAGCATCTACAAAAAATAAAGTTTAAGTGATAAAAATCTGTCGTATTTTAATAAATAAAAATCCATCTCTTTCTTTACAAATTGCTTTGTTTACTTTAGGATACCAACTAGAATCTGAAATCGGTTTACTGATTGAAAAAAATACGGACCATATTATATTCAGATATATACGGAAGATCTTTTTAAATGCATACGCACTCGGCAATCAACATAGGAAGTTTATATTTCCTTGTGTTCTATAGACGCTGTCGATTCAACAAGGAATCACGCATGCGCAGAGATTGCTTGCCCGTTCATTTACACATGCACAAAAAGCACAATAAAAGTAGAATGAAAATCACTGGTTATTATATCTATATAAAAAAGGCGCTGGTCGCTTTGTGTTGTGTTGACCGCCTGTGGAGAAACGCAATGGGAAAAAAAAGAAGTTAAAAATGTAAAATTCATCGCAAATAAAATATAAAATACGTTTTTCTTTTCTTTTTAATACTCAAGTGTTTTTCTTTTTATCAGGCTGACGGCGACATCTTTACAGTGGGCTGAGGTTTCTTTATAGAGTTAAATGAGTGTTTTCGGAAAAATAAGGATAATTAAAAAAATCCCTGAAAGAAGAAAATAGATAAAAATAAATAAATAAACTCATTTAATAGGGATTTAAAAAATATTGTCACCAGCGGGATCGTTCGGGCATTTTCGATAGAATTGTCGTCATGTGTTGAACATTCTATCATGGCGTCTCTTTTTCTGTCCCTCTTTTTTTTTTTTTTATCTTGGATTATTTTCCTACACTTAGTCGATCATCCTCTCTTTCCACTCCACCTCGAATACACACATAAACATGTATGCACATGCATGCATATACGTACGTATGTATGTATATGCATAATTGTTTGAAAAATTCGTTTTGTGTTTGTCGTCACATAGCATTGCAAATGTTTTATCGTTAACAAACCACATTAAAAATCGTTTTCGATTGTATTGTAACAAGTTATATCGGACGTAATTTCTACATTGTCAAATTGCTCGAACTCCCGGTAGTACCCCACTTACACGTACAACATACACTGTATAATATATATATATATATATATATATATATATATATATATATATATATATATAGAGAGAGAGAGAGAGAGAGAGAGTGTTTTAATAGGCCGGATAATAAAATTTGAGCAATAAAAAAAGCCAGCAAAATGATAGCAATATTGGCAATAAGATTGATAATGCTTATTTTATATTAGCCTTTTGATAAATTAAAGCACGAAGTTAAGCACGAAGTTTTCGTTTAAATTATATATATATATATATATATATATATATATATATATATATATATATGTATATATATTATGTGTGTGTAAAGATTTCAGACACAGTATATCTATAAAAGGACAATATGAAAAAAACAACAACACAACAACAACAAAAAAAAAAAAAAAAAAATTATCTTAGCCGAAACGTTTTTTGTCTACTGAGGTACTTTATCAAGTTGGTTAAGATAAGTTTTCCTTTTATTTTTTCATATCTATCTATCTATCTATCTATCTATCTATCTATCTATCTATCTATCTATCTATCTATCTATTAAATACCAATATATATATATATATATATATATATATATATATATATATATATATATTATAAAACGTAGTTTAAAAATATGGTATATTTAAAAATGCACAATATTTGGGACAGAGCCTATGCACATACAAGCAGTGTGGATGCATAGATCAATACCAAATAGAACAGCGAAACAGATTATCATAAATCTGTTTTTATTCTGTTTCTACCCTCCCTCATATATATATATATATATATATATATATATATATATATAAATATAAATTTTTTTCTCATGCTCAACGCAATATTCATGAGTCAAGGTTGACCGTTACATAATCTATGTACATTTATATACATTTATTTATTATTTGTATGAATTTATTTACATAAATTATGTAACGGTCACTCTTAACACAGGAAAAATGTATATTTATTATTAATGCATAATTTATAGCTCCGTTATTTTACATTGAGTACT